GGCATTTGGTTCGTTCTTCCTGCGCTTATCCAGGGTTCAACCCATTTTAGATGAATAGAATTGACAGAAACCTGGTGTCTGTTTACCCAAGGACACATCACTGGGGTCTCCCTGCATCCCTGTGGTGTGGACGAATTGTTAGACCCTCAGAGGTAACTGTCCTGCACCTCCCTGGGACTGTTCCCCAGTCCAGAATCATTGAGGCGAAGATAACTCCAGGGATTTCCGGTTCTGTGTCAGCCTGAGTGTCTGTCATGTTCTGCTCCTTATTCAGAGTGTCTCTTCTCCCGGTTGCCCAGAACTGTGGTGCAGAGGAAGTCTCTTGGTTCCTGACGGGCCGCATCAAGCATTATTGGATTGAGATGAACTCCTCTCCTTCTCCCCGATGTTTTGATTCTCCTTTCCTTTTCCTTGAGGTACATTCTAGAATGCTCCTCAGTGACATCTCCCTGCTGCCCTCTCTTGGATACTCTTCCTCCTGTTTCTTACTGTGGGGGTTCTTCTGTGATCTGCTGTTTCATCGTGGTGACTGAGCTGACTTCTCTCAGAGTGCTCCTCAGTGATGTCTCTTTGCCACCCTCAGTTGGATTCTTTCTTAATCTTAAGCGTTCTTAATCTATTTTGCTGAACATTATGCAATGATTCACGGAAATCCTTCCCTTTGACATTGTGGTTGGGCCTGGGACATTACACTGAGCAAATCCTGCAGAGATGTCCCAGAGCTGGGTTACGTACCCCCTTAAACAAAAACAACTTTCTTTCATTGTCGTCCATAAGGCTCCAAACAGAGGAGAGATTGCCCCCATTCTCATTGCCTCCAGTTGTGTGATGGCTGTTTATGCTATTACTAGCCAACTGTGTCCTTGATGTCAAGGGCAGTCACTCCTACATGTTCTCCAATGTTTGTAATTTGCAACAATAAGAGGAAAACATGTCATGATAATCCTACTTAGTGACTGGCACATGAAGATTTCCACCCTAATAATTTAACAACAATATTAATAGAGGAATAGAAGATCTGCTGTCTGGTAAGAATTAATCCACTTTATCAAGCTAAGTATACCTAGCGAGCCAAGAGTTTGTAAACTTCAAACCCTTGAACTTAGTTCACGGAGAGGCAGGGCAGAAAGGTGTTAATTTGTAAATATCTAAGACACGTTAGGAGAGGCCAGCTGAGTGGAATGTGTAGCTTGTCACATGTGGGGAGTCCTGGATGCTTTCAGTGTCCGAGATGACCACAAGTGCAGGAAGAGCTCCAAGCTGCAGAAGCTGGAGCTCTGCATCACGGAGCTTGAGCAGCGGTTGGACACAGTGTGGCACATCCGCAAGACTGAGAGTTATGTGGATAGCATGTTTGGAGAGGAAGTCATACCGCAGCTCAAGGGATTAGAGGAAAGACGGGAATGGGTGACCTTCATACAGTCCAGAAAGAACAGGGAGGTAGTGCAGGAAAATTCTCCTGGGGTCCCAATCACTAACCTGAATTCCACTTTGGAAGCTGATGTGAGTGTTAGTTCCTCGGAGGTGTGCAGTCAGAGCCAAGCTTCTGGCATCACAAGCGGCTTGAATGTACATGGGGAGGAAGAAAGGGAGAGCAACATTGATAGGGGCTTCTTTAGTCAGGGAGCAAACAGGCATTTCTGCACCTAAAGACATGACTCCAGGGTGGTGTGTTACCTCCCTAGTGCCAGGGTCGGGCATATTACTGAACGGCTGCAGGGCATCCTGAAAAGTGTTGTTGATAAATTAAAGGGTAGGGTGCGTATTGGTACCAATGATAAGGGGAATGACATCTTGCATCAAGAATTCAGGGAGTTAGGCAGTAGATTAAAAAGAAGGACCTCAATGGTTGTAATCCCTGGATTATTACTGGTGCCATGTACAAGCAACTGTAGAAATAGGAATATTCGAAAGCTGAACACTTGGCTCAAGAGTTCATGTAAGAGGGAGGGTTTTAGATTCCTGGATCACTGGGACCGTTTTTGGAAAAGGTGGGAAATGCATAAACAGATGGTTTGCTCCTGAACCACACTGGGACCGAC